TCAGTTTAACCTCTACATAATATTAAATTAATTGCAAAGGGATATTCACCATCCTACTGAACCATCCTACAGTATGCTGTCGACTGGGAAAAAAATGTCCAATCACACCATCTATAATTTTACCTCAGACTTTATTTTGCAAGCTACTTAAGAACTCATTAGAATAAGAATCTCTTAAAGTTATAAGAAGAAGCAGAGGCTTTGTCGGTGATACAATCCAGCTGGTTATGGAAGGTAAGTTTGGTCCTGAAGACCAACTGTGTTTGTTCTGATGAACGCATTCAGGTTTTGAACCAAGCTTAAAAATGTCTTTGTAGAATATGAGGTTTCAATATTATTTAATACAATTAAAATTTTGGAAGCAAAGGAATATCAATGCTTTCCAGCACTGTTCGACAGTTATTTACTAACCAATGAGAGGGTAATTGATCTTAAGAGTTGTATCTATACTTCATTCAACTGATGAATTGTTGTTCATTCTTGTTTCCCTTCAAACAGATGGAGCCAGTGCTCTGCTATGAGTCAATCAATGCTTCATGCCTGAAAACCATTTATCCCATACCCCTACGTGTTACCCTCTACATCATTTTTGGGGTCACAGTCATTCTAACAGTGTGTGGAAACCTTTTGGTCACTTTCTCAGTGGCTTATTTTAAGCAGCTCCATACTCCAACAAATTACCTGATTTTGTCTCTGGCTATGTCTGACCTGCTTTTAGGGATAATAGTCATGTTCCCTTTTATGATTCAAACTGTTGAGTCTTGTTGGTATTTTGGTGACTTCTTCTGTAAAATCTTCATTAGTTCTGACATCACGTTGTGTACAGCATCAATTCTCAATTTGTTATCGATATCAGTCGACCGATACTACGCTGTTTGCCAACCTCTGCTTTACAGAAGAAAAATATCTGTTAAAATTGTTTTGATCATGATCCTGCTCAGTTGGAGTATTTCAGTTTTTATAGGTTTTGGAATGATTTTTCTAAAGTTAAATATTTTGGGTGTTGAAGAGTTTTATTATAACCATGTTGTTTGTGAAGGAGGATGTGTTATGATTCACAGTGGAGTGTCTGGTACTGTCTCCTCAGTGATTTCTTTTTACTTGCCGGGGATATTAATGCTTTGTGTGTACCTAAAGATTTACCTTGTAGCACGTAGACAGTTTCGCAGCATTCAGAATGCAGGATGTGTGAAGTCAGTAAAAAAGTCAAACACAAGTCAGACAAAAGCCACTAAAACCCTGGCTATCATAATGGGGGTTTTTCTTTCTTTTTGGACTCCATTTTTTGTTTGTTTCATCATTGATCCCTATGTCGGTTACTCAATACCCCCTGCATTTTTTGCAACACTTGCATGGTTGTGCTACTTTAATTCTACTGTGAACCCTATGATTTATGCATTCTTTTATAGTTGGTTCAGAAAGGCATTTAAATTAATAACCTCCGGTAACGTCTTCAAATATGACATTTCTGAGACAACACTTTTACCTGAATAACTTTATAAAAAAAGTAGAAACTTGCATGAAATGATTATGACATGCACAACATTGAGTCAACTGAATCAATGGTACTGGACTTTACAGAGTTTGGGTCGACCATAATATTAACAAAAACATAAATCATATATTTTAATATTTATTCAGTAATGTCACATTTAGTCACTGTATTTGGGTTGCATTTATCACTGTCAGCTCTTCCCTATTGAGTTTCTTAAATTTTGTTTTTAAAAAAGTTACATTTTAAATAGCATCATGCTGACATTGCACTTTATGTTGTTATAAGAGAGTACTTGTACTCCTAAAGCTATAGACGGAAATCATTCTTGTTAAAATAACATGACAGGACCTGTAAGTGGACTGTTACAGACCAAAGTAGATGTGGATATTGTAAAAATGTTGTGCTATCATGTTTGATATTAAAAAAAGATGCACATCCCTAACTGAGTGCTAGATTAGATAAATATCTGAATGTTTATAGCTCTATGTTATGTACATAGTATTCCCATATATCCTGATATGTTTTTCATTGGTATTTATCACAGTTGTGTCAGGTATGCATATGCAGGTAGGTTGTTATTTAATGTTTCTCTGTGTGTAGAAGCCTGACACAAATGCTTTAACTGCACATGTGTTATGGATGTCTGTGTTCTACAGAGGATGTCTCTATTTTGAAGATATATTTATGACAAAATGTAGTATGCTACTTAACAATTTATATTTCCATGTTTTTGGCACCTGATTAGAAAATGATGTATTTCAGATTTATAGAGTCTGAGGAAGAGCATGTTGGCCTGACACATCACTTGTTAATAAATCCTTTAACGGGAGCTACTTGGTGTGCGATTTTCTTGTTTCTTAATATCATCTCTGATATAAAACATATTCTGTCAGGTATGTATTTAGTCTTCACGTTTTGAAGAAGTGCAATCTGTCATTAGTATAGTAATGACCATAGTTTGTCAAGTCAGGTCAAATGAGTCCTAAAAACAGATACAAACAAGAGTGCATTAAGTCCTGAGGAGAAAAGATTGAGAAAATCCTGTCCACTGTTTGTTGTGTAGTATAAACTGCTTTTTAATGTTATTCATCTCAGGGCATAATTTCTGTATCTTTTCATATCAGGGCTGAAGATTGGTTTCTAACCAAGAGGGGACCAGGAAGGTTCCAATACAGCATAGGCCTCCCTTCAGACCTGACTACAGGAGAGGTCAAAGAGTTCAAATATATACTTGTTTAGTGGTATGAAATCATGTTTTTGATAGTATAATGTTCATAAAACAGTACTTTGTGCACATTTTTACAGCAGCAATAATTATGTTTACGCCCTGGTGGAAAAAATGATATTACTTTGATTAGTTGTTATCTTTATGTGCACACACTGTACAGGGGTTGACTGGTTTTATAACGCATCCGTTCTGATATTTATGAACTATACGTGTTATGCATAGTTAAGCGAGTGTCTGACCTGATTGCGCAGTATAACCGTTTTTCAGGAGGCTTAAAACCCGTCTCAGATCCAGCTCTCAGCCTGTCATTAGGTTGACTAAAAGTTAGGCTGAGACAGGATTTTCATCATGTCGGGGATGTGGACACTGCAATGCTGCCTACCTGGATGATGTGGTAATATACAGCAGTACCTGGGAGGATCATGTACAACATCTGTACCTGGTTCTTGGGAAAATCCTGCTTGCTAAGCTGACCCTTAACCCCTCCAAGTGTGAGTTTGCCTGGCAGGAGACAAGTTACCTGAGTTGCCTACTGGGCTGAGGAGAGTCGTTACCACAAGTGGATAAGGGGAAAGCTATCCAGAACTGCCCTCGACCTTGCAACAAGAAGGAGGTACACTCTTTCCTGGGATTGGTTGGCTGGTACAGGCGGATGGTGCCCCAAATTGCAACCATCGCTGCATCAAACACAGCAGTCTCCAGCAAGGACCAGCACCCTGAAAGCACACTTGAGTTCTTCCTCTGACCTCAAAAGTTCAGATTTCCACCAAAAATTTCAGGTACAGCTGGATGCCTCAGCAGTCGGCCTTTGAGCAGTTCTAGTCCAAGGAGACCCAAGAGAAGAGTATCCAATTCTATACCTGAGCTGCAAGCTAAGGTCCACATTAGACCAGATATTCCACAGTGAAAAAAGAGGGCCTAGCCATCAAGTGGGCATTTGAGGGCCTGCAGTATTATCTGCTTGGATGTGAGATTGATCCTGAGAAAGACCACACAGCTTTAACATTGATCAAGTAAATGATGGACCACAACAGCTGCCAAAAACAATGGTATCTCTCACTCCAGCCATTCAAGTTCACCATCCAATAACAATAAAGGAAGTCCAATGTTGTTGCTGACGACCTTTTCAGGTTGCCCCACATCATCAACATCCGGGAGTAGGTGACGTAGCGGCTCCATCATATTATTTCAAGTCGTCATTGCAATATTACATCTAAAGATCAAGATCAAAAAGGAATTTACTTTGCAGTTATTTAATACCCAAATCAAATCACTGGTATGAATGGCTTTACTTTAACATAAAATGTTGGTCTTTCTGACATTATTTGATAGTAGAGTGAATAGAGTTGGAGTCAGGGAATAGGGAGAGGGAGGAATGACATGCAGGAAAGGAGCCATAGGCCGAACATGAACGTGGGCCACCCGCTTGTTTTACATTGTTAATGTGAAGTTAAAAACGGTTTTGAAATGCAAAACAAGGGAAAATTAAAATTGTGATTAATTGCGATTAACTTAGGAAATTCAGCGACCAATAGAGATCAAAAAAATTATAATTTAACAATCCTTGTTTTTAAATATTTAAGAACTCACCATCTCAGTCATCATTTGTTGATTAGTAGAAGCTTTTTTTGGCATTACAAGCTGATTTAAATTTGAACCATTGCATTAAACCTGGAAAAGAAAACAAGTCTGTAAAAAACTATAAATCATATCAGAAAAATTGAAATCCTTTTTTTCATTCTAAATATCTAACGGTAACGTTTAAAAAACATACTTTTAGTTAGTTTAACATCTACATACTATTAGATTAATTGCAAAAGGAATTTGCCATTCACCTGAACCATCCTATGCAGTCCACTGGGAAAAAATGTCCAACCTCACCCTCAGATCTATTATTTAACCTCAGACTTTATTTGGCAAGCTACTTAAGCGCTTAGTAGTACAATGATCTCTGAAACGTTTGACATAGGAGGCAAAATGTTTGTCGGCCACACAATCCAGCTGGTTATGGAAGGTAAGTGTGGGACTGAAGACCAACTGTGTTTGTTCTGATGAACTCATTCTGGTTTTGAACCGAGCTGAAAAATGTCCTGTAGAAAATGAGGTTTCAATATTATTTAATACAATTACAATTTTGGAAGCAAAGGAATATCAATGCTTTCCAGCACTGTTCGACAGTTATTTACTAACCAATGAGAGGGTAATTGATCTTAAGAGTTGTATCTATACTTCATTCAACTGATGAATTGTTGTTCATTCTTGTTTCCCTTCAAACAGATGGAGCCAGTGCTCTGCTATGAGTCAATCAATGCTTCATGCCTGAAAACCATTTATCCCATCCCCCTACGTGTTACCCTCTACATCATTTTTGGGGTCACAGTCATTCTAACAGTGTGTGGAAACCTTTTGGTCACTTTCTCAGTGGTTTATTTTAAGCAGCTCCATACTCCAACAAATTACCTGATTTTGTCTCTGGCTATGTCTGACCTGCTTTTAGGGATAATAGTCATGTTCCCTTTTATGATTCAAACTGTTGAGTCTTGTTGGTATTTTGGTGACTTCTTCTGTAAAATCTTCATTAGTTCTGACATCACGTTGTGTACAGCATCAATTCTCAATTTGTTATCGATATCAGTCGACCGATACTACGCTGTTTGCCAACCTCTGCTTTACAGAAGAAAAATATCTGTTAAAATTGTTTTGATCATGATCCTGCTCAGTTGGAGTATTTCAGTTATTTTAGGTTTTGGAATGATTTTTCTAAAGTTAAATATTTTGGGTGTTGAAGAGTTTTATTATAACCATGTTGTATGTGAAGGAGGATGTGTTTTGATTCACAGTGGAGTGTCTGGTACTGTCTCATCAGTAATTTCCTTTTATTTGCCGGGGATATTAATGCTTTGTGTGTACCTAAAGATTTACCTTGTAGCACGTAGACAGTTTCGCAGCATTCAGAATGCAGGATGTGTGAAGTCAGTAAAAAAGTCAAACACAAGTCAGACAAAAGCCACTAAAACCCTGGCTATCATAATGGGGGTTTTTCTTTCTTTTTGGACTCCATTTTTTGTTTGTGTCATCATTGATCCCTATGTCGGTTACTCAATACCCCCTGAATTTTTTGTAACACTTGCATGGTTGTGCTACTTTAATTCTACTGTGAACCCTATGATTTATGCATTCTTTTATAGTTGGTTCAGAAAGGCATTTAAATTAATAACCTCCGGTAACGTCTTCAAATATGACATTTCTGAGACAACACTTTTACCTGAATAACTTTATAAAAAAAGTAGAAACTCGCATGAAATGATTATGACATGCACAACATTGAGTCAACTGAATCAATGGTACTGGACTTTACAGAGTTTGGGTCGACCATAATATTAACAAAAACATAAATCATATATTTTAATATTTATTCAGTAATGTCACATTTAGTCACTGTATTTGGGTTGCATTTATCACTGTCAGCTCTTCCCTATTGAGTTTCTTAAATTTTGTTTTTAGAAAAGTTACATTTTAAATAGCATCATGCTGACATGGCCATTTATGTTGTTATAAGAGAGTACTTGTACTCCTAAAGCTATAGACGGAAATCATTCTTGTTAAAATAACATGACAGGACCTGTAAGTGGACTGTTACAGACCAAAGTAGATGTGGATATTGTAAAAATGTTGTGCTATCATGTTTGATATTAAAAAAAGATGCACATCCCTAACTGAGTGCTAGATTAGATAAATATCTGAATGTTTATAGCTCTATGTTATGTACATAGTATTCCCATATATCCTGATATGTTTTTCATTGGTATTTATCACAGTTGTGTCAGGTATGCATATGCAGGTAGGTTGTTATTTAATGTTTCTCTGTGTGTAGAAGCCTGACACAAATGCTTTAACTGCACATGTGTTATGGATGTCTGTGTTCTACAGAGGATGTCTCTATTTTGAAGATATATTTATGACAAAATGTAGTATGCTACTTAACAATTTATATTTCCATGTTTTTGGCACCTGATTAGAAAATGATGTATTTCAGATTTATAGAGTCTGAGGAAGAGCATGTTGGCCTGACACGTCACTTGTTAATAAATCGGGAGCTACTTGGTGTGCGATTTTTTTGTTTCTTAATATCATCTCTGATATAAAACATATTCTGTCAGGTATGTATTTAGTCTTCACGTTTTGAAGAAGTGCAATCTGTCATTAGTATAGTAATGACCATAGTTTGTCAAGTCAGGTCAAATGAGTCCTAAAAACAGATACAAACAAGAGTGCATTAAGTCCTGAGGAGAAAAGATTGAGAAAATCCTGTCCACTGTTTGTTGTGTAGTAAAAACTGCTTTTTAATGTTATTCATCTCAGGGCATAATTTCTGTATCTTTTCATATCAGGGCTGAAGATTGGTTTCTAACCAAGAGGGGACCAGGAAGGTTCCAATACAGCATAGGCCTCCCTTCAGACCTGACTACAGGAGAGGTCAAAGAGTTCAAATATATACTTGTTTAGTGGTATGAAATCATGTTTTTGATAGTATAATGTTCATAAAACAGTACTTTGTGCACATTCTTACAGCAGCAATAAATATGTTTACGCCCTGGTGGAAAAAATGATATTACTCTGATTAGTTGTTATCTTTATGTGCACACACTGTACGGGGGTTGACTGGTTTTATAACGCATCCGTTCTGACATTTATGAACTATACGTGTTATGCATAGTTAAGCGAGTGTCTGACCTGATTGCGCAGTATAACCGTTTTTCAGGAGGCTTAAAACCCGTCTCAGATCCAGCTCTCAGCCTGTCATTAGGTTGACTAAAAGTTAGTCTGAGACAGGATTTTCATCATGTCGGGGATGTGGACACTGCAATACCGCCTACCTGGATGATGTGATAATATACAGCAATACCTGGGAGGATCATGTACAACATCTGTACCTGGTTCTTGGGAAAATCCTGCTTGCTAAGCTGACCCTTAACCCCTCCAAGTGTGAGTTTGCCTGGCAGGAGACAAGTTACCTGAGTTGCCTACTGGGCTGAGGAGAGTCGTTACCACAAGTGGATAAGGGGAAAGCTATCCAGAACTGCCCTCGACCTTGCAACAAGAAGGAGGTACACTCTTTCCTGGGATTGGTTGGCTGGTACAGGCGGATGGTGCCCCAAATTGCAACCATCGCTGCATCAAACACAGCAGTCTCCAGCAAGGACCAGCACCCTGAAAGCACACCTGAGTTCTTCCTCTGACCTCAAAAGTTCAGATTTCCACCAAAAATTTCAGGTACAGCTGGATGCCTCAGCAGTCGGCCTTTGAGCAGTTCTAGTCCAAGGAGACCCAAGAGAAGAGTATCCAATTCTATACCTGAGCTGCAAGCTAAGGTCCACATTAGACCAGATATTCCACAGTGAAAAAAGAGGGCCTAGCCATCAAGTGGGCATTTGAGGGCCTGCAGTATTATCTGCTTGGATGTGAGATTGATCCTGAGAAAGACCACAGAGCTTTAACATTGATCAAGTAAATGATGGACCACAACAGCTGCCAAAAACAATGGTATCTCTCACTCCAGCCATTCAAGTTCACCATCCAATAACAATAAAAGAAGTCCAATGTTGTTGCTGACTACCTTTTCAGGTTGCCCCACATCATCAACATCCGGGAGTAGGTGACGTAGCGGCTCCATCATATTATTTCAAGTCGTCATTGAAATATTACATCTAAAGATCAAGATCAAAAAGGAATTTACTTTGCAGTTATTTAATACCCAAATCAAATCACTGGTATGAATGGCTTTACTTTAACATAAAATGTTGGTCTTTCTGACATTATTTGATAGTAGAGTGAATAGAGTTGGAGTCAGGGAATAGGGAGAGGGAGGAATGACATGCAGGAAAGGAGCCATAGGCCGAACATGAACGTGGGCCACCTGCTTGTTTTACATGTTAATGTGAAGTTAAAAACTGTTTTAAAATGCAAAACAAGGGAAAATTAAAATTGTGATTAATTGCGATTAACTTAGGAAATTCAGCGACCAATAGAGATCAAAAAAATTATAATTTAACAACCCTAGTTTTTAAATATTTAAGAACTCACCATCTCAGTCATCATTTGTTTTTTTAGCTTTACAAGCAGATTTAAATTTGAACCATTGCATTAAACCTGGAAAAGAAACAGGTTACAAAACAGGTAGTCTGTATACAACTACAAATCATATCAGTAAAATTTAAATCATTTTTTTCATTTTAAATATCTATAGGTAAAGTTTTCTCCTTGGACTCCATTTTTTATTTTTAACATCATTGATCCCTATGCTGGTTACTCAATACCCCCTGAATTGTTTGCAACACTTTTATTGTTGGGCTACTTTAATTCTACTGTGAACCCTATGATTTATGCATTCTTTTATAGTTGGTTAAGAAAGGCTTTTAGATTATTAAAGGGATACTTCATCCATTTGCATTAAGCTTTGTATCATTAGAAATTTGGTAGTATTTTTGAATGGTCGTGCATCTCTCTCTCATTTTCCCCTGAGATGGGAAATCTTTGTATTTCTGAGTCTGAAAAGGAGCTTCCGATGATGCAAAAATCATAATTTTGTATCATCGAAAGCTGTTACGGTTAGCAGGGTGAAACTACAACGCTAGTTCCTCATATTTTCAACCACTAAAGCTACAGACTAATCACAGATCAGTGGGTGGGAACTCACTCCCAGAATCGAAACTTAACGTCCGCCATATTGCTTGGTAGCTATGCTAGCTCTGATACATTAACAGCTGATAATGGCGAAAAAATATAAATATAGCGGTGACATGGCTGCTGCCGACAGGCAGGTCTTGTCTTTTGGCTGCTGCGGCCACTGCCCGCTGGGGCCGCCGCTGACCACTGCCCGCCGCCCGCCGGGGCAGCTGCCGGCCGCTCGCCGGGACACAAGACTGGCTTGTCAGCAGCAACCGTCTCACGGCTATATTACTGGCCGGCCGGGCCGGCTCTAGCTGGGACGGACTGTCGGTGCTCTCACTGTTTGCCTATGGACACAGACATAGAGTCTGTTTTCTGCCAGGAATTGCCAAGATACCAATTCCTTCTGGAAGAAATCTCAGAATCAGTTGAGGAAATGGCCGTATGTGTAAATATGTCTGTAAACGTTTTTATTACTATATGTCTACTGCTATACTGTATATTTTGGAGAAACTGTATCGATCGAATTTCCCTCTGGGATTAATAAAGTATTTCTGATTCTGATTTGGACCTAAGGAGTGGCCTGCAGTGCTGTGCATTCTGGGATTAGGTGTCTTTCATCCACATGAGCCAAAAAGACACTTTCTGCCTTTTCTCGGCCAAGAAGGCACCAACTTCAAAATGTATTTCACATTTCTACTCCATATATGACCCAATGTCAATACAGATTCATGTTTCAACGGGTGAAGTATCCCTTTAACCTCAGGTAATGTCTTCAAATATGACCTATCAGAGACAAAGTCAAAGTCAAAGTCAACTTTATTGTCAATTTCAAAATATGCCAGACATACAGTGGAATCAAAATTTTGTTTGTCTCTGTCCCGCGGTGCAATACAACCCAAATAAGGTAAAATAAGATAAGGTAAAAATAGGTAAATAAAATGAGGTAAAAATAAGATAAATAATATTTACAGTAATAAATTCTAAATTGTGCAAAAGGTATAAATTCTAAATTGTGCAAAAGGTAGTAAATAAAATACAATAAAATTTAAAGAAAAAGTGAACTTGTGCAGTATGTGCAATGTGCAGTAAACTGAGTGTACAGAGTTTTTAGTCCAGAGTTCTTGGTGGAAAACGGGAGGGGGGTTCAAGAAAGTGTGTTCGTGGGGGCAGAGGGGAGGGAAGGAAGAGAGGGGAGACAGTTAAGCTTCCTGACAGCTTGGTGGAAGAAGCTGTTTCCCAGTCTGGTGGAGCCGGCCCGCAGGCTGCGGTATCGTCTCCCCGATGGCAGGAGGCTGAAGAGGCTGTGTGAGGGGTGGGTGGGGTCACGCACAATGCTGGTTGCTTTGCGGGTGAGGCGGATACCGTAGAGGTCCAGAAGAGAGGGGAGTGGGACACTGATAATCCGTTCAGCAGCCTTCACTGTGCGCTGCAGGGTCTTGCGGTTGGCAGCAGTGCAGCTCCCAAGCCACACAGTGATGCAGCTGGTCAGGATGCTCTCGATGGTGCCTCTGTAGAAGGAGCACATGATGGATGGGGGGGCTCGTGCTCTCTTCAGCTTGTGGAGGAAGTAGAGGCGCTGCTGGGACTTCTTGGCCAGTGAT